TCACCAGGTATTTTTAAAATTAGTTACTTACAAGAGAATATTTGCCAAATATCTACAATCTATTTTATTGTGATTCTCCTCATGAAAAAGCTGGTTTATTACAATCCAAAAATCACAATTATATTTCCATAATCAAATTATTGCTTTATTCTACTAGCAATGTTCTCACTGTATTTTTTAGCATGTTCATCAACTTGAGCTATTATTTTCCTTTTTTTATCAATTTGCATAGGTGAATTGCTGAAAAAACAATTTTATCCCATATGAACGAAATCACCTCTGTTCCTGCCACCTCTCTGCTTCTCAATGAGGCCTAAGGTGGTGTTTGGGAAGGAGGTCCCTCTCACAAAAGCATATATAAATCCCTCCCATAGGAACTAAAATTTTTGTGAGAAGGACTAAAGTTTAGTCCCTCTTCCCAAACACCACCTAAGTGCCTAACAAAGAATGCATGATGTGGATATACCTAGATACTGGATATTCACCTTTATACGTGGTTCTCAAGACATAAACTTGTTTCTCTTAAAACAATATAGAGAATACATGAGAATGTGATCCTATATTTGTCACTCCATAATTTTTTTAGAGTATATATGGTTAGGACTTAGGACTCTAGAGAGCATCTGGTTGTTATGGCAGATAGGATTTGTTTCCATCTATATCTCAGCCTCTCAGGGATTACTTGAGATCTAAGTTGTATACTCTTATATATACTGGCCATCTAAGGCTCAATACAGTCGTTCCAATTACACAGTAAACTTTGTCCTGACATGCACACAAACACACTTGTGGGGCTAAGCAGGAGGTAGGGGCACACAAGCAAAAGATCCGGTGCACTTATGTTCATGAAGTTCATAATGATTTTTACACCAACTCAGAGGTTTCTAGCATACATGGTTTACATAGTTGCAAGCTTACCAAGTCTACTTTCCAATAAATTTTATCAAATCTACTTTCCAATAAATCAAACGACATTTGATTCATAGGCAAACTGAGTTACACACAAGAAACAACAAGGAAGAAGAATGTGGGTCTTAAGCGACTTGTTTACTAGATCCCTATTTTTCCAAGTCTAGCATTGAACGGGGAATAGGTCCATCTACGTAAATGTCCCACAGATTAAAGTCTTTCCAAATGAGTTTGAAATGAAGAAGGCTTTGATTCATTTCAGATTCGGTTTTAGATAGCTGATGGTGGTCAATTAAACTCATTTTGACCACCAACCTTTGACAATAAAAAGGGTAAAACTATGTTCAATGCATCAATTTGGTTTAGACTATTCTATTTCCACTAGTTTTGTCGCATCTTAGCTATTTTGCAGGTACCACTCAAATAATGAAGAGATGCACGGAAGAAGGAAGAAAAGGGACCAATTAGGCTTGATGACCTGACTGGTTGGGCAAGACCTAGCCGGCCAGCCTAGCTAGGGTGCCCGGCCGACTCCTCTTCCCTTTCAGATAGGAGGCCAAGGCTGGCCCGGATGGCCTCCCCTGCAGAATATTTACTTACAAGCATTTACATTATTTGCTTTACATTTCTGAGCATTTACTTTAAAGTCTTTACTTTATTTGCAGAATATTTATCCGCTCGAATGATTGGTCGATCGTGTGTGCATTAGACTAGGAATCTGCTGTGTAGTCTTATATGTTTCTTGCCTGGGCTTAGTTCACCTAGCTAATTCTGGAGGTATCAAGGGAAGTATTTTATTGTACGACAAAGGTGTGGTGCCTTGGTCGTATAGTTCTAGGAAAGGAAAGCTAGAGAAACATCAAAGGACATAGTCAGTCGGATGGTGATAGCTTCAAGCATCCTTTGAAGTCATCCGTGTTAGCTCTAGTACACTGCCATTACAAGACCAGGGAGACCAGTTCTTCCATAGCGGGAACCGGTGCTTTGGTGCCTAAAGTAAAACTCTTACCCCATTAATACAAGTTGCGCCAAGAATAACTCGAGTCTAATTTGTGGTTACCCATAGTCTTCTCTGAAACTCTGACAACTAGATAGGTTAGACTATGTGTGTTTTATTGGTAGGCTTAATCTATCATATCTTTTATTGGATTTTATCCCCGATTGGTTAGTATAATTTCCTTAGACAAAGCAAGGTAGAAAAAAGGAAACATTTTATGCCATCAGTGTGTCCTTTAGGAAAATATAAATACGATACTCTACTCTAGAATACTATGAAGTGAAAGTACTGCATCAATAATATTGTGCGCTTATGGAACATATAAAACGTGGGCCAAGTAATGAGGAAGCGAGAAGCCCATATGCAAGGAAGGGCCGGCACAGCAACCAGGGCCCAATAGGAACGATACAGGAGCACAAACGCATCTACCCCTCGTCGCTACACCAATTAAAACCTAAGCTGCCCTATCGCTGATTAATGCATATCTTTAATTATCTGAACAAACAGATGACGTGGCGCCTCTAACCTTCCAACAATCCCACGACGTTTAAAGAAACAAATTTATGAGGGTATAAGAAATACCAACACCAACCTAGATAGATTCACCCTAAAACATTTGTGTAGCTCTCACATTCGTATCTTTTTTTAGAACATGCAGGAGATCTGCATATCATTTTATTAAGATAGAGAAGAAAATGTGTACGGTGTTAGAAAAAGACTTCGACACCCACCCACCAAAGATACAACATAATACCACACACCCAAAGAAAAAAAAACACAAACTAGTGCATTAGCAGCACAGTTCTAGTAAAGAGATCACGGACCCTAGCAACTCCTGCTAGGCACCAAAGAGCGCCCTCATTAGCGATGGCTCGGAGGACATCGGCCAAGCATGGGGTAGCGCCATTAAACACACAATTGTTCGTGTGCTTCCAAATTTCCCAAGCAACCAAGATGATTAAAGAGTTTAACACTTTCTTCTCATAAGTAGGTAAACCCCTTACCGTTCTTGACCACCAATTGACAAACCTAGCAGTAATCTAGGTTGGAAAGCTAGAGTAGCCAAGCCGTTGTAAGACCAAAAACACCATACTTGTCAAGAAAACACACAAGTGATTAGGATGTGATTAATGGTTTCCTGAGCTTGATCACATAATGGACATGTAGGCGGGTGTTGAAGTCCTCGCTTGTCCAACCGATCTGTTGTCCAACAACGATTATTAATTGCCAACCATATAAATAATTTGCATTTCAAAGGCGTCCAACTCTTCCAAATTCTTCTCCAAGATGCAAACCTTACCGTCCCAACAAAGATGGCCTCATATGCAGATTTAGAAGTATAAATTTCTGAGTTTGAGAGCTTCCAAACATGCTGATCTGGAACTCCAACTTGTAAGGCCACCCCTTCGACCAAGTCCCAAATCTAAAGAAACTCCACAAGAACCTGAACCGTCAATGGTCTGTTAATATCTGTTACCCATTTTTTGTTGTCCAAGACTTGCACCACCGTACACCGCCTGACAGTCTTTTTGGCATCAACTTAGTCAGATTAGGAGATATCTCACTAACAGTTTTCCCTTCCAGCCATCTATCTGTCCAAAACAAGGTGGATTGTCCATCTCCTATGCAAGTCTTTACCGCCATGCTAAATAACTCACGAGAAACATGAGGCACCTGGACTGGTAGACTGTGCCACGCTCGAGCACTATCAGTCTTCTGTAACGTTACAGAGCCAACGTATTCGGAGCGACCAACTCATGTACTCCAGATTAAGCACTCCCAAACCGCCATACTCAATGGGTCGGCAAACCTATTTTCGATGTGTGAATTGAAAGCTAACTTGATGGCTGACATCATGGATAGAGCCCAAGACTCCAGTTCCTTCTGTTTCACAGCAACAGCCGAACCAAATTAATGGTAGTACAGGTAGTGTTTACAAGCATTAATCATTCAAACTAAATACTAACTTCAAATATTTCCTTAATTCAAATAAAGGAATTATGTGTCATGTGTCATATCACTCAAAAACAATATCAAAAGCTCATATAAAAACTAAAATGCACACAGCTAGTCTAGTAATCATATTATCTAACAAGTATTACTAGAATGCACAAGAATATACAAAGCTCTTCTCCTTTTTTTCCTTTTCTTATTTTTTTCATTTTATATCACACCATGCATAAATTTAAACATTCATGCAAAAAGAAGAATCAAAAGAAGAAAAGAAAATATGAATACAACAAAGAGCCAAACTCCCCCTCAATTAATGCCAAAAGGATGAACAATTCCCAACTCACCTCAAAGAAAAACAAATCGAGAAGAATTCAACAGTTTCGTGAAAATTCAATTCCACATCTCCCTTCTCGACATGATCTCTCAAAAAGTGATAGCGAATATCAATGTGCTAGGTGCGTGAGTGTTGTACAGGATTTTTACCAATGTTTATAGCACTTGTATTATCACAAGAATTCTGAAGATTCTGAACAGAGGAGAGCAGCTGGTTATGTGTGCTTTCATGCATGCATCCACCTTGCTCTAATGCTTGTATGTGTGGTATTGTAATTAACTGAAGCTATATTTGTTTGATCAAATTTCTTTTATGTTTCCCAGGGAAAAGAGTTAACCATCTCTTACTCCTTGTGTTAACCTTCTCATTTTTTTCTTGACAGTTGAGGTTTCATTAAGCAAATGAAAGCATTCTGCTTCTGCACTAAAGTGCAACCCCTTACCTTTTCACAATTACATGACATGTTTGTTCAAACATACAGAAGCTCCCAGAAGGATAAGATTAAAATTATTGTTAATGAACAGACGGACAAGATTAAAATCATTAGCAAGGAACAGAAGATCGCTCTGATGATAAGTGGTAAGACACAAAAGGTTCCGCCAGGAGCCCAATATTGGAACCCAGGTCGGATTTTGTTTTTCATCACATTTTTTTTCCTAAGATGTCTCTTCTTGTTCCATAACAAAACACAAGATTACGTCAATGTAGCAACATATAGACTACACAAATACCATAACTGATATATCCGAGATTCCAGGTCAAATCTCATATGCGTCAAATTCATGTTTTTCACATAAATCCCCTATAAATCCAAAAATAAGCTAATACAGCACCCGCGAAGAATATACAAACAGTAACTCTGGAGTATTGTTATGGCACGTTCTACCAAACCTTAGACTGGATATTCACACTGCATTTTTTTTTAATTTGAAAGGCAGAATCACATTGAACAAATGTTCCATGATTTCACAATCTTGAATAGTAAAGCACACTAGTTACTAGTTAGAGCTCTGCCAGAGAAAAGGATAGCCTCCTGTTAGTGACAAAAAATGGCAACTGTCCTCCCATGCATCCATACTTATTGCCTAGCCCACCAAAGCCTATGTAAAGAATCCATTTGCACATAATACTTGTTTACAATAAATAGACTAACAATGAACCGTACTTATTTCATGGTTTCTTCTTTCGGAGGGCCTTCAGCAATCTTGTCACTCGTTTGGGTGTCTTTAGACTCTATGGCAGTGGCCTGAGCTCTCTTACTTGCAATTTCTCTTTGCATTGCTATTTGATCTTGCATTACTTTCGTCATCTCCTTTATTTGCTTCTCTTCTTTCTCCGGTTGCATGTCCGTTATGATCTTAGCATTCTTATCGATTGGTTTGAAATACTCATCTATGGCGGTTTCCTGCAAAATAGGATGGAGAACAAGTTAGCACGTTATAGATCCACAAAAAGAGAGAGAGAGAGAGAGAGAGAGAGAGTAGCATCTCTAGAAGTTACTACTACATAACATGTGCCATTCTGTTACACCTAAATTTCCATCGTATAAAATCATGGCAAACAAGTAAAGCAAACAATCGATTAAACCATAGAAGATATGGTGTCCTTCAAAATCCAACAGCATGATGGCCAATCCACCTCTTACAGTCAGGTATACATGGGTAACTTAAAGCATTATTCATGATTCAAGTTGTGAGATGGTTCATAAACTAACATGTAACACTTTCTCAAAACCACAGTACACATTCCTTATGCAGGCATTCAGACATCGACTGGGTAATTTTATTTGTGGCAGGATGTCTTACAGTTTCTTCAAGCTGCTGATTGAGGGCTTGCATCTGCTGCACCATTTGACGAACCTCTGATAGAATAATTTGTTCTGGCTGCTTCCGAAGCTCTTCCTTCTTAGCTTGGGCCTGGAAAAAGTTCCTAATATTTTAAGTATTCATGTAAATGAACACAGCATGCTCATTGCAACTAATGAATGCATACACAACGATGATTGATGTTATCACCATGGATAACCAACCATGCTACCTTGAAAGCATTGTTTTTGCAACATTTACAGACATTTGATGAGCTGAGTACTGAAAACTTAATAATTTCTATACTGGAATTAGGATAAGTGATCGTAACCCTTACCAACACCAAAACTATAAAAAATCAGAAAAGTGTAATCTTTTGTTTCTTTTAAAAACAAATTCATCGGTTCCCATTTATTTACATATCCCACAAGGACCCACATTGTCTTGTACTCCCTCCGTACCAAAAACAACTTCATTTCTAGCCTCTAAAATTTATCCCAAAATAAGTTCATTTATACCCTTTGCATACCCCCGGTCTGAGTTTTATCCCCTTCCATATCCTCTTTCCTACCCACCCAACAATACTACTTTCCTATTAATAATAGACTAATTTGAATACCACTTGCTAGAAATGAAGTTATTTTGGGGCAGAAGAACTTCAAGGCAGTGCATCATGGGCCAGCAGGGACGTGCATATAAGAAGCTAACACAACAACCACACCGACTGAACAGCCATCAGTTAGCATATTTGCTAATTTTATCTATTGGCTATCTCCTTGGATTGGATTATTGCATTACGAAATCCCTATTCAAAGAGAGCAATTATTCAAAGTAATTGAGTATGTAAAATAGGTACAATACGTGGTATTCTGCATAACTGTCGGCATCAGTAACCCTGCCAAATAAGCACAGTTACCATGTATAAAAGATATGGAAGTAAATAATCATTCCCAATACAAATATAAAAAACAGTTACTTGTGGTTGTGGCAGTAGAAATTGGATAAGACTACAATAAGTGGGATGGTTTGTCTGAATAAAAAGCAGATGGTAACTAGTACCACTTGCAGGACATAGCTGATATTTCCACAATCAATGAAACCAGCAACGGATATGCATTGTGAGGCACACAAAAAGAGCATATTTGTCAATTAGACACAAGACCAATTTACCATAACAATAATCTCTTATCCGTGCCATGCCAAATTGCCAATCAGCTAAAGGAGAAGATTCCAGCTTCAATTTAACAAAACTCTACTGAAAACAAGATAACTACATCCTTAGCGGGCAACCCTATCCCATTTCAAGCAGGTCATCCCAAAGATGACAACTAGAAGATTCAGTCTCACGCTTTACCATAGTATTAGAGACTTGCAAAAGTAAAAATGCTTTCTTCAGCTTTCACATGACACAATTCATGGAAGAATAGATATGCCATCCAAGAAAATGGCCGTGTCATGGTTAAAGAAACAAAAAACACCAGCCTTACCCTCGCGATCTGCTGCTGCATCTGCAGCCTGTGAGCACGGATCCTCCTCTCCTCGTAGCCGGACAGCACCCGCACCACGAACCACGCCTTCCTCCCGAACTGCACCAGCTTATCCATCCCCGGCGAGCGGCAGGGGCACACGGCCTCGCCTCCCTCTTCACCAACCACCTGCTCCAATCCAAGAAACAATTTGCGTCATCAACAACAGGGGGCGGACCCAGGGGTGGGCCTAGGATTTTCAACTTGGGTATTCAAAATTAGAAGAGATAAAAAAAATTCTTGAGTTCTCTTCTTTGTGGCAGCTTTATCTTAAAAAAGGCCTTTAAATTAACCGAGGGGAGCTTTTTTTTTTCTTCATTTTTCAAACGTACAAAACAACATTATACTATATTCAACCATGAACCATTCCTGGATTGAAATAAACTAAATCCTACTTCCTCCGTTTCATATAACCTGAAACGGAGGGAGTAAATCCTAAATCAAATGAACCATCCTGGATTGATGGATTTAACTATGAACTAAATCCTAATATCCTATATTCCTAATCCAAAATGTTCCTACTTCTTAACCATCTAGACATGACATCTACGGGCTACGGGCAGCAGGGGCGCAGGGCAGTTACCTTCGTCGGACTCGAACGACCGGGCGGCGTTGCTGGCGGCTGGCGCGTGGCCGGTGGAAGCCTGGTAGCCTGCCTACTGCTGCAGTGCTGCTGCCTGCTGGCGCCGTGGCGTGGTCGGCTGGCCGCTGGCGGCAGCCGGGGCGGCGCGAGCGTGGAGGGCCTGACCGGGGACCTGGGACGGCGGGCTGCGGCAGCGACACGACGCGAGACCGCGACGCCGCGACGGGGCGGGGGCGACGGGCGGGGGAGACGGGCGGGCGGCGGGGCAGGGCGATCGGCGACGGGGGGCGGCTGGATCGGGAATGGGAGGTGAGGAGATAGTGTTTGGGCGCTTTTTTTTTATTGGGCCAATGGGCCTGAAAAGGAGGAAGATTGTGGGAGGGATAGCAAGCCCTTTGGAATAAGTTCACTTCATGACCCTCAAAAGTGATCGAAATCTAATCCATGACCCTAAACCACAAAACCGGACATCTCGACCCCCAAACTCTTAAAACCAGTGCAATTTGACTCCCTGGGCGGTTTTGGAGGGCGGTTTCGCTGACGTGGCGCCTACGTGGCAGTATTGACTCGGTCTTCTTTCCACGTGGCATTGACATGGCGCTTAGGTGGCATTAGAAATAAAAATATGCGTGGGACCCATCTGTCATTCACACACAAAATAAAAAATTGTGAGGCCCACTGACATGTGGGCCCCACATGTCACCTCTCTCTCCCTTTCTTCTTCCTCCCTTCTCTCTTTCTTTCTCTTTCTCCTCTCCCCTTCGGCCGGCCGCGGGGAGCATGGGAGGCTGGAGCTGGAGCGGCGGCGGGCGGGGGCCAGAGCGGCGGCGGCGGCGGAAGCTGAAGCGGTGGCGGCGGCCTCGCCAAGTGGAGAGAGGAGAGGAGAGGAGAGCAGGTGAGGGAGGAAACGGATGTGATGGGTGACATGAGAGGCGGCGGCAGTGTGTAAGGGCCGGAAGGGAGAGGGGAGAGGCAGAGCCGCCGAGCTCGTGTTGTCGCCGCCACCGCCGCCGCCGGTGCCTCCTCCCGCACTTGTGCTCGCGACAGCGCTGCCGCGTGCTGACCAGGAGCGGCGGCGACGCGTCCCGTGGGTGGTGGTTATGGCCGCAGCCGACGAGGTCGGAGACGAGAGCGGCGACCGCGGCGGGCGTACGAGGGGCGGCGGACGACTGGTCTCGATCTGGTACTCGGCATGGTCGGGGAGGTCGACGCCGACGACTACGAGGAGGATGAGATAGAGGGGGCGAGCAGCAGCCGAACGGTCCAGCCCGCCGCCCGTGCTCCCCACCGTCCACCGCCCACCGTCGCCCGCCGCCGCCGCCTCTTTAGCTCCCGCCGCCCGTGCTCCCCACCGTCCACCGCCCACCGTCGCCCACTCGCCGGAGGTCCGCCACCGCCGCCGCCTCTTTAGCTCCCGCCGCCCGTGCTCCCCACCGTCCACCGCCCACCGTCGCCCACTCGCCCGAGGTCCGCCGCCGCCGCCGCCTCTTTAGCTCCCGCCGCCCGTGCTCCCCACCGTCTACCGCCCACCGTCGCCCACTAGCCGGAGGTCCGCCGCCACCGCCGCCTCTTTAGCTCCCGCCGCCCGTACTCCCCACCGTCCACCGCCCACCGTCGCCCGAGGCCCGGTGCGGTAGAAGGAGCTGCTCCCGCGCCCGTCGCCGGAGGTACACCGTCGCCCGAGGCCCGGTGCGGTAGAAGGAGCTGCTCCCGCGCCCGTCGCCGAAGGTACACCGTCCACCATCACTCCGGCACCCACCCACCACCACCGGCACTCGAGCCCCCTCCTGCCGGCGGCTCATGTCAACGGAGAGAGAGAAGCAACGGAGAAAGGAGGAAGAAGAAGGGTAGTGAGAGAGAGGATGACATGTAGGGCCCACATGTCAGTGGCCCCACTTTTATTTTGTGTGTGAATGACAGATGGGTCCCACGCATATTTTTTATTTCTAATGCCACCTAAGCGCCACGTCAATGTCACGTAGAAAGAAGACCGAGTCAATACTGCCACGTAGGCGCCACGTCAGCGAAACCGTCCTCCAAAACCGCCCAGGGAGTCAAATTGCACCGGTATTAAAAGTTTGGGGGTCAAGATATCCGGTTTTCTGGTTTGGGGTCATGGATTAGATTTCGATCACTTTTAAGGGTCATTAAGTGAACTTATTCCCAAGCCTTTTAGTTTGGGTTTCTTTTGGATGGGTAAGCTTTTCTTTTTCCTTACTAAGCAAAAGGTCCATGTGTTGCAATGGATATTTTTATTGGCTCGGTTTCTATTATAGTAAATTTCTCATTATGCGTATAATACTTAAAAAAATATGCTCATGCGGTTATCCCTGGCGTAAGAGTGAATTAGACCTTATTTTAAATTATGCATTTAATACTTTAAAAGAAGGATACTCATGCGGTTGTCCCTCGTGTTTGTTCTGCTTTTGTAATATCGCTGATAACAGGACCCATATTAAGAGGATAAATAAGGAGAGAGAAGAGCAGCGGGCTATAAATTTGTAGCCAGCTGTAGCACGAACTCCAAGACACAGTGTGTATGACAGGTGGGGCCAGGTATTAATAGTGTAGTATGTAACTATTATATGAATGAGCTATTAGATTGACTATAGATAAATTGAAACTAGTAGTTGGCTATACTATTAAACTTGCTCTAACTGTCGGTGAAGGGACTGAAAAATCTAACTTGGTTCGAGGTTAGATTGATCCCCGATTCCCCACCCCGACTTATCTCGTCTTCTCGTCTCCCTTCATCTCTCTCCCTCTCGCCGCTTCCTCCGCGACAGCAAGCCGTCACCGCCACTCCAAGCTGCGTCCCTCCCTCGTCGTCGCACGGTTCTAGTGGAGTTCTAGTCGGCGGTGTGCCTAAGTCCAAGCCTGGTGCCCTAGCAAGCTGAGGCTGGCGACGCCAAGGTGATGGCAGCGGCGGCGGTTATGGCGTGCGGTGAGCTTAGGCCGGCATGGCGCTCCCTGCCGGTTCTTCTCCTCTGTGCAGCAGAAGCCACGGTGGTGGCGAGCCTCGCTCTTGTGCAGCCAACAAAGCCAGGGGCGAGCCCCGTCCGGGAGGTAGAGATGAGCTAATACGGGACTGATGCTATGCGCGGCAGGCTCTGATGATCTGATGCTGCCAAGACAACGAGTAGGACCCCGATTCGGTAAGTCTAAGCCCCAATTGCTTAGGAATTTGATTGATTTGGTGTTTTTATTCCGGTATCCACTTAATTTTTCTTGGGGGGAGATTCTGAGTCCTTCCAGGAGAGGGTGGAGTCCTTCCACGCGCGCAGGAGGAGTCGGATGCGGATGACGACGAACGAAAATCTTCCGAAAGCCTTACATGGTGGCCATCGCGAGCGACGGACGGAAAAACCGATGTGACGATGGGAAAAATATCAAATAGTTAAACGTTGTAAGATTTATATATTTAGATTCACCGTGTAAAATACTTTCCTAATACATGATACACATGTTGTTAAATGATATGGGTTTTCAAAGATGTATCGACTTTGGACAAGAACGACAATTAATTTAAAGATTATGTCGTTTAGAAATTCGAAAAACATAGTACGAATTAATCCATTCGTCGAAAACAAACAGGTCGGCCCATCGATGAGTCCGATCCATCATCCATGCGTGAGCAACTGAGCATACGAGTACCCGCAGCAATTTCCAGCTAAGCGAGTGAACAGTGAACTGATGACACACTATACTTCTCCCCGTGACTCGACTAACTCGACTAACTCGATCTGCTCCTCGCTCCCCCGTGCAGCCGACGGAATGGTGGAGAAGTTGCTCTTCGACGCGGCTCACAACGGGGACCTCTACATCGTCAGGGGTAATTCACTAACGCGGCTTCTGCTCATCCTTCCTTGGTTTCGGTCGCGAAGGCGGGCGTTTCAATTTTGGGTGCTTGGGTGGGTGTGCTGATTTTTTTTTTTTTGGTGGGGGGTGGGGGGATTCCGAGCCGTTGCAGGGATGGCGACGTTGCTGGATGATGGGAGGGGTCGAATCGGGGAGGCGGTGCAGGCGGCCAGGGTGAGAGGTGCGCCGATGGGCGGGATGGGGGCGCTGCACCTCGCCGCCGGCAAAGGGAGGCTGGAGGTGTGCCGCTACCTCGTCGAGGAGCTGCGGCTGGACGTGGATGACGCTGACCAGGAAGGTCCATCTCTCATTCTCTCGCCCGATACAAAACCCCTCCTTTTTGCACCGTTATGAATGATCACGTGCACGTACTCTTAAGTTCTTATTAATCCTTTTCAGCGTTATAAAAAAAAACACCATTTTTAAACAATCTACAATGTGCCTTTTTTTTCTAAAAAAACATTGGTGCGGGGCACTAGCTTGTTGAGTAGCTTGTTTTGTTGATCAATGTGTCTCAATGATAACTTCATGGTAGGTTGTACTCAAATTGTCTTGTGTTTGATAAGATTATGCATGGCACTGTGAAGCAATGTTTAATAGGCATCAATTTTCACCTAACTTGCAAAATGAATGGGTTCATTTCCATATTCTGTTATGTTCCCATGGTTATAATACTCAATATGTTCCATAATAACTAGGCTGCCCAATGTTATCTCGTGCACTCAGTCAGACATTTCTACTTCCTATGATACCTAAAATTTTATTTTTCTCATACTTTATTATCTTGAGGAGCAACTTTTAGATGCCATGCTCTCAGAAAATGGTGTTACCATTATAACTTTTTATGGCGATATATTTCAAAGAAAATAAAAACTGATATTGTTTCTTTTAATGTAATACAGAGTTACTTTGCTTCAATAAGCTTTTCTGTGTGCTTGACAGGTAGAACTGCTCTGATTATTGCAACACTTTGTAAACATTTAAGCACTGTCAAGTATCTTCTTGATCATGGTGCCGACGTAAACAAAGCCAGCCATGATGGGCGCACCCCTCTACATTACGCCACTCATTTAGGTGCCCCTCTATAAACACTTTTCTTTGATTTTCATCTGCTGGTTTTGCTTTTAAAACTTGTCTTTTTATATACTTATAGTAGATTATGTTGTTGTTTGTTGTCGTAGGGATCTGTTTGCATTTGTTCACATTTATTTCCTCAGACCTCAGTTCATAACATAGTGAATTTTATTCAAATCTGATAAGTCATGTTGTAATTATCATTGGAACTGCCTAAAACGTGCCAGTATGTATTAAATGTATCCTCTAAAAGTTCTTTTGGACACAAATTTCATTGTTTGCCCTATGGATAAGAACTGTAAGCATGCATTTGCTATCTAACTTCCTTTCTGTATTTTTATGGCTTTCTAATAGCCAGGGTTTACAAAACCGTGCGGTTATCGGGCAGTTATCACGGTTATCATGTGCGGTAACCTTCTCAATTTTTGAAACCACGGTATACCTTGCGGCAACCGCACGGTTATCGCGATAACCGCCAAACCATGGGGTGGCGATAACCCCACCCAAAACAGTTTGGTAAACCCTGCTAATAGCCCTTGAAATGTGTGCCTTCACATCACCTTGAGTATTTTGTGTTTTCGAATTTCTCCAACCAACTGTAGATCTTCGTCTTATGGAATATTTTCTACTTACCTGGAACTTGTGTGGAGTGTGGGAATATGTTAAATAGATGTTATAGCCTTCCACGCCCCCCCCCCCCCCCCCCCCCCGCCCAAAAAAAAAGGGAAAAAAAACTTTGTAACAAGTGGCTTTTCTTGTTTGTTTTCAGGAGATTGTGGAACAGTACAGCTATTGCTTGCAAAAGGAGCTTGTGTGGACACAGTCGCAAACCGTGGCACACCACTTCATGTTGCTGCTAGTAAAGGGAAAGATGGTGCTATGAAGATTTTATTGGACCACAATGCAGATGTAAGTTTTACAGCATGCCATTTGCGCCTTAACTTGTCCTTTGGACAAGTGAACACATGTGTTCAATTGGTTGCTTTCTGCGCCAACTTGTTTTATCAGCTCCTTGTTGGCATGTTGTTGGCATGCATGTTCCATTTTATTGATTGTAGTTGGGTTACTTGATACTTATGGATTGCTGTGCACCATCCTCACATAACCATCTCACTCATCCTACGCTGTGCTGCCTTTCACTGTTGAGTCTTGTTGGATCGTCTTGCTACAACATGGTATTGGCATTTCATAACTCATGCCTGTTGGCAACAGATAGGTGTGAGAGAAGTATAGTATATAGGTTCCAAGCATGAAGATTACGATGGAGGATATCATGCATGAGTTGCCAAGTCAAGAGTTGTTCTATGAAAGATTTTCAATTTTCTATGTTTTGCTTGTTTAATTGTGTTCTTAAGTCAGGTAAGGAAAGCAGACAGACTCGCCAGTCCCTCTATGTATTAATAGAATGGACCATATCTCTGTAACAAATATTGATAATTCATTCACCTGATCGTTTTCTCCACAAAAGCAAGCTACATCTAGATTTGTGCTGTCATTTTTAGCGCATAAGAAAAAAATTTTGTTGTTAGGATGGAAATGCCATTATACTAGTTTTCTAATGGAGTTCCAGAATACCTCTGTACGTGTGTTGTCACTTCAGGAGTTCAGATTCCAGAAGTTCTGATTTTTGTGTCATCAGTAAGTTCTTGGGCAATTAACAACTTATTTGCCATGATAGTTGACTACTTGGGCAATCATATTTTGCTCCTTTTAACCTCCACCTTGAATTGAATAAAATATACTTGTTAAGATTTGAACAAAACAATGCCTACCCTCAATATATTCTGTAACTGTATGTTGCAATGAGCTTATTTCCTTTTGTAATGCAATAGAAGCTATTCACTTTCACTGCATGTTTGATGCAGCATTACAGTCCTATACGTTTTATCTTTCCGTTTATTGCTTGTCTTCTTTCCCTCAAGTATCATTATTTGAACATATGCCTAATGTCTGTCACCAGTTTAACAAGATGGTAGATGGTCATCTGACACCTCTAGCTACTGCTATAACTGCTGGTGAATTGAAATGTGTAAACCTCCTGATTGAGGTACTGTACCTTTATTTGATTTTTCAATCCTTACAATATATTTGGGCTGTTTGCTTTGTTATGAGTTTTGACATTTTCTCCACACTCCATTTAGTAAGTTCAGCATTTTTCTTCTGTATATGGCTTGTTAAAAGTACACCGACTACACATTTTTTTGTAGCCCGTGATCTACTTATGGTATAAAAATTTTAGAAAGCCCAACTTATGATCAAGTTGACTGCCACATGTAGGATAAAAAGAACAGGAGCTCAATAGTCAGTTCACAACACAGAGCTAGTGACATAAAGTTGTTAATCCGTTTATGAAACTTATAAAAATTATGAAATGTTGCCAAGTCATCTTCGGGACAGATGGTAACACTTATTTTTGTATGATAGGCTGGTGCTGTTGTCAGTGGAGACTGCATCTCAACTGCTGCAAAGGGTGGCTCAAATGAGTGCAATTACTCAATGGAAGAGACTGGTGCCAACCGTAACATTTCTGATAATGTAAGATTTACCTCATCGCACTACAAGGATGCACTTTAATCATTGCAGTTTTTTTTAACATAGATTAGAATTCTGTTGGTAACTTAACACTGTACTTTTTCAAGGTTACGGATATGTTTGTGGCTAATAACTGCATGCTACTTCTTTTCTTCCTATTCAAAGTTTCTCAGTTGCTCCATTACTATGATTAATGCTCTAAATGCCTAAGCTGGTACATATTTGGGAATGGTCTTCGCATATTATATATAGTTTATATGCTTGCAAACTATTATTTTCAAGAATGTTGTATAGTTATGACTTTGTCATTTTGGTTGACACAAATTATCCAGCTTGGTATAGGAAACATATGAGAGACAATTTCTATTTTGAGAGGCAGAGAGATGGAGAACCATCAAAAATAAGAAATATTTTCTTATATACTCCATATTTGTTAAGCTTCATCATGATTTTTTGTATATTACAATGATTTAAAAATAAAGAAAATCAGCTCATGATTACCGTCTTTCTCAGTGCATGAAGTCATCTGTGCATGATCTACTGAGAAGTTAACAAGATGCAATTTTGATGACAAGTTTTTTGTCCTTTTATTCTACTCCCTTTGTCCTCAAATGTTTTGAAAGTTTGGGACGGTGACATGCTCAAAATATGTAAATGGAACACTAGAGAACAATGTCACTGAGTTTGTCTTGCAAAATAATATCTTTTATCGATTGTGCTAGACTGCTAGTGTAATATAAGAAAATTAACTGTACTCAACACCTTTCATTTTAGACCATGGAAAGTGAAAACTTTTATTTAATATTCTAGAGGGTATGTTTGGTTAAAGATGGTTTGATTGCACACATTCTACAGTGATACTTGCTTTGACAGGAGGGGGCATATGGGCTGAAATTTGTTAAAATAATTTAAAACAATTGTATAAAAAATTTTCATATCTAATGATCCTATCTTCCTAACACTTGAAATGTGAATGTGTGAATAAGTATCATGTTGCATTAATGGTTAACCATTGCTGCTCCAAACAAGTGCCATATAGCGTTTTTTTATATATCTACATGTTGTGCTTGTTAATTACTTTGGGAACAACCCATTCTGACTGAAAGATAAGCTTGCATTAGTTAATTTGAATACATCATTAAGGAGTACCACATCGGTTCATTTTCCCAATTCTGCACAAGAGTTGGTTACCAATGATTGAGAACTGTCTTAAGATTAGAAGTTAAGGGATGCGTTGAAGACTTGAAGTGCTCTAGATGTGTAGGAGATAAAATGTAGGAGGAAACTGTGTCATTAGTTAATGATGAAGGCTCATCTTTCTTCCCATTACAAGTGTCAGAGTATGGCTGGTGAGGTCTGCGTAGGATGTGTTATACCGATACCAGTAGTTCCTGTAGGATTATCATCACAAGTGAAAACTTAGGCAGCAAGTTGTCATTCTTACAGGACTGGGCATGGAAATTAGGAGATTTTCTCATTGAAACATAGGCATGTGGAAATGTGGAATCATGTAAATGATGGCTGAAGATGTTACATAATTAAATCCAATTTTCCTGAATTTCCAATGCATGAATTTAGATGGTTGCTTATTGTTATGACTTTTCCTGCATAGCACTTATATGTTGATATATTGATGGTTTAGGGTGAGCCTGTCAGTAAAAGGAAAGCAACAGAGTTAAAGTCATTGGGGAATAAGGCGGTCGAGAAAAAGGATTATCTTTCTGCAACAGGATTCTACAGTAAGGTACTTCAGAACACCAAGTTTCCTCATTTTGTTCAACTCTATTTTGAACTTGTACTTTCATACATTGTACAGAGATTATGACCTGGCTTTGCTTATTCTCAGCATGCAAACAAGTTAATCTAAAGTATTCTTTTAGAAAAAAAAAATCTCAGTGTACAAAATTTACTGCCGCTGGGTAAAAAAATAAAAAAAATCTAACTCAATGTACATAGGAGCTATTTTTTGTGTTCCCGGAACAGCCAAACCAATGATTTGGCAATGTTGCTACAAGGGGTATTACCAAAAACTTGGGGCTTTGGACCATACCTATAGAGTGCCAATGTCCTAGATATATTATTTCCTCATTCAGTTATGTGGTGCATTTCCTCGCGTAGAAACCATTGATATTTTATACTATTTTCACATAGGCTCTGTTGAGGTATACCTGTTTATCATAACGGAAAGAGAGAATATGTGCGTGATGAGAGTAGCGCAATTGTTCTAGGAGACTCACTTTCTCAGTGCTCTTGCTGTCACTCCTATGCCATGAAACAAACTACAGTAGAGCTTTTGTGGAGTTGCTTGGCTTGTGAGTTGTGACTGAAACATAGAGAAACTACATTGAACTTCTAGAGAAAGCTTTAAATCCCCATATTTTCACGGACTAAGAACTAGTGAACATGATTTTTTTTAATCCAAAACTGGTATGATTTAAAATTCCATATATATATTATAAATGTTACATTACCTTACTTTTATTTTCAAGAATCTCTCATATTTTCTAGTTTTGTTGTCTAGTTTGCTCAACCAGTTTCTGTATACTAGTGTGATAGTAGTGTGGCAATGTGCAAGTTTCTTGTTTCTAGGTGTTTGCAGATTCGTTAACTGTTCTTATGTTCTCAGTAAATCTGCTAACTCATGCTTTTCCTTATTCAATGTAGGCACTGGACCTTTACCCTGATGATGCAACCTTGTTCTCAAATAGAAGCCTTTGCTGGCATCACATGGGTAATGGAGGCAAGGCTTTGTTGGATGCTTATGAATGCAGGAAATTGCGGCCTGACTGGCCAAAGGCCTACTACCGACAGGGTGCTGCTCTGATGCTACTGAAGGTTAATAGATGATGCAATTATCTATGTTTTGGTTTTGTGCTGAAAATTATTATTTGCTTATTTACTTGGCATTGTATCATCAGGACTACGAGAGTGCTTGCGAAACACTTTACGATGGATTGAAGTTGGATCCAGGGAACTCTGAGATGGAGGATGCATTACGGTATCCTTTCTGTCTATTTCGGCCACACCACGGCTCTGTTTGAAACAGATTATTTGGTGTTTGAAACAGATTATTTGGTGGATTAATGCTGTTGATTATCTACTTCATTATTGGATTAATTGTAAATATTTTGAGAAATAAACTTTAACAAAAACTAGTTTGGAACTAATGGTCGAAGCAATGCGGTATTGCGGTAGAAAAAAGTTCTTTTTTTTCGTAGAAAATGAATCTTTAGAGGTGTGGAGCAAGTATCCATGGCAATAGTTCGGTGAAGTAGCTGAAAAGAACAGGGCCTATGGCTTCTTTCCTATGTTGTAGTTAGGTTTAGCATAAACTTATGCCTTGAAAACTTGTGGGGTATGAATATTATTTAAATTCCGTTCTGTTTTTGGGAGTTTGTCAGGACTTTTGCTTTAGCGGTGATGCCATCCATATCTTACTGTACCAAAACTTGCTCTTTGATCAGCACTGTCCACTAGGCACAATAGTTACAAGGGAGTATGGAATCTTCCCGCCAATGAATTTCCTAACGTAAATTGTAAACTAAAGAGGAGGTGTGCATTGCATTTCTCATCAAGGTATTGGCATAGTGCATTCACCCGTGCTAGAGGAATTACGAGTTATGAAGCTATCGAACTTGTTTTCTCATAGTTCGTTTTTAAATAATGGAACAAAAGTTCTGCCTGCTGCATCTATCGATGGACAAAACCATCGTAAATTATCGCATCTTCTCTCATAGTTCTTGAAACATGCAGGGAAGCTCTGGCGTCCTTGAAGGCATCTGCAAGCACAGAGGCTAGGTGAACAGCATGGGTGTTCGCAAGGTGGGCAAGGCGCTCTGGTCCTCTCCTACACGTTTTGTCCAAGGCGCCTCACTTTTTGTCCAAGAGCCTTTGGTTCCCTGAGTCCACAGGTGTTCTCACATTTTGCCCAGAGACTTCGATACCCAGAACCATAATGGGTGTCCTTTTTGTAAGTGAAGCAAAGTAGCTAACCGGGGTGGTGACTGTTGAACATCACGGTGTTTCGCGTCTATAACTGCCGTTTGGGGTGGTGTGGGTGCAATGCTGCATTGGGATGGCATAAGGCCAGTCCCAACCCAAGACACTACACATAGTTTCCATAAACTCTATATCATTAAGAAAAAAAAACTAGTATTAGACACTACTTTTTCAATGCAAACATCACTCTTTCATACTTAGATTTAATGTTATTTATCTCACATGATGCCTTGGATGTTATATAAAAATCATGTCTGTTAAAGATAAGTTAGGTTCTGATGATACCGCGCATTGCATCTTTCCGCTACATAAGCTCTTCAATTTTTAATTGATGACACTATTGATTTTTTTTACACATGTTTGACTATTTATTTTACTAACAAATTTATAAGACATTTGTTATTAGAAGTCTCATTAAACAGACTTCTATATTCCATAAATAAATTTATTTGTTTCTTTAATACCAAAGGGTAAAAATGGATTTCTTAATAAAATATTAACGATCAACTAATGGAAAGAGGGAAGTACTCAAACTAAAATTTGGAGGTATAAAAGGAAATGAGTAAAACTTAAGCTATGAAAGGGATCAGGCAAACTTTTAGGATACACAGAATTTTCTCGTTACTTAGGTTTAGGTTTTATTTGGTACAGTTTTAGATCTCAGAATTACGGGAGATTTAAAGTTTATACATCAAATTACAGTGGATTAAAGCTTAAATTTTCATCTGAAATGTGTACAAAGTGGTTTAAAATTTAAAATTTCATCTAAAATGTGCACAAAATAATTTATTTAAAGGTTATCAATGAAATTGTAGATCTAGAGCTATAGATTTGTGGAACTAAGAATACCTGGCTCCAAGATTAAAGTGGATTAAAATTTAAAATTTTATCTGAAATGTGCACAAAATAATTTGTTTAAATGTTATCAATGTAATTGTAGATCTATAGCCATAGATTTGTAGAACTAAGGCCGTGTTTAGTTGATTTGGCAAAAAAAAAATTTTGACGTATACGGATACACATTTAAAGTATTAAACGTAGACTAATAACACCACAAATTACAGATTCCGCTTATAAACTGTGAGACGAATCTATTAAGTCTAATTAATCTGTCATTAGTAAATATTTACTGTAGCACCATATTGTTAAATCATGGTGTAATTAGGCTCAAAAGGTTCGTCTCGCAATTTACATACAAACCAATTGTATTGATTTTTTTTCGTCCACATTTAATACTTCATACATGTGTCCAAACATTTGATGTGACGGAAAAGTTGAAAGTTTGGAGGGAACTAAACACACACAGGCTATCAAATCTTGGATACAAAGCTGTACAAAAAGAACCTTAATTAATGGTAATGGCATTTCTCATTTCACGTGTGGCAAAAAAAAAAGAGAGGCCAAAACGAGCTTTCGAACAGATATTTCCTCCGTTTCACAATATAAGTTATTCTAGCATTTTTCATATTTATATTGATGTTACATTATGAAATGGAGGGAGTACTTAGTACGGCAAAAATTACTACATGATGTATTAAAAAATATGGTATGTACTAAAGAACACTATTAAAACGCGGGTTTACCGTGGACACTAATTTCTTGGTTGTTTGCTACCGCCTACTGGGCACTGTGCATATTATTTTGTCATTCATTGCCATTTCAAAGAGAAAAACTTTGCTAAATGGCCCAAAAATGCCCTTCACCTCATTTCTCTCACCGTTGTTTACTCTTTTCGTCTCTGACGATGTCGTGTTGCTTCCTCTCTCATTTTCCTCCTCTTTGCCCGGAGTAGGGACCGCTCCACCTCGTACTCGTTGTCATCAAGCCAGCCCTTTACCAAGACATTTGTGTCATTTGACTATCTAAAATAGTAAGAAATGATAAAATATTACGGTGTCTAATTGCAAATAACCAAGAAACTAGAATATCCACTAGCAAACCACATTTTTATGATGTTCTCCGGCAAATACCTTTTTAAGTGTCGAATAATCCTCCAAGCAATGTTAGCTAATAATCCTCCAAGCAATGTTAGTTAATCAATAACCCTTCTATATCAGTTGTCTTGCTTGCTGTGTCTTCCATTTCTTTTCTTCAGAAAATAATAGACCTTCATTTCAGAATGATGGGTATTTTTTTCACAGAATGGGCATAAGATTTCTCTTGCCTTGGATTTTACAAAGTCCGTTGCTTAGTGGCAGAATGTGGTTGGTTCAGTACCCTCTCCCTTCTACACTTGAACTCAGATTTTGATTTATTTGTTGACATTATAAACACCTGAAACTAGTTTGAAGTTGAGTAGCTGACATAAATTTAGGATATGCTAGAATTGCATGATCTGTAAGTGGGAAATTGTATCTTTTGGACAATTGTTGTCTCCACTTTGAATTAATCTATGAATGAATTGAAGGTAGGCACTACAGTATTTAATTTGAAGTGTTGTCTTTAGCTCAATATAATGAATGCGTAGGCTCGGTTAGGAAGAACTAAGCCAACCAGAGGAGAGTGAATGGTTGGAGTACCTAAAAACCGAAACTTTGAGCGAAATTAAAAGTTACCCTCAAGTCGATGAGATTGGTCTAACCGAGATTTAATTTGATGAAAATCTCGACTAAACTCGAAACTCTAACTTTTCTCTAAACTCAACTCTCTTAAAATTGATATCGGGATTCGGGAGACCACACCCTCACTCTCTATTTATACCCGAGATAGGCAGTCTAAAGTCACGAACCAACCTTAAATAAGAAGTCATAATCCCCTAGGAACCCTTCTCGTAGAAGAAACAAACTTTACAAACTCCAATTGTACCAAATTTGGACTCCTTTCAAATTCGACTCTGAAGGGAAACGCATAGGCTACAATAGCATAAATCAAAAAATTTCTACGGCGTAAACCAGGAACTATGCAAGTATTAGATCATAGATCGTTACCACTCAACGCGTTGTGCAATGGAATTAAGCGCTAAGAAGCAAAAGAAATGTCGGGGACGTAGCGTGCATCGATGTAGAGGAAGTAGTCGATCGCAATAGCTTAACCTTCTCCTCCTTGTGCGTTCTCCTCTCCGTGTTCTTACGCCGATAAGCATCGCAAGACAGCGGCGCCTTTACTAGTATCCACACGTACAGGGATAGAACGCTATGTGCAGACCTGCAAGCACCTGCGCGCAGCGCAGCTAGGGTTTTGCTCATGGATGGGAGTGGCTGCTAGGGTTTCTCACGTGATCCAATGAATCCACTGCTCACACCCCCTTAAAATTTTTATAGGATCCATGAATGGGCCTCCAAGGCCCGTAGGACTCCTATATGGGTCACTATCCGAATTAAGCTTATATTGGATCTCCATCCAATCCTGTTGCTCCGGCCCATTAAGCGTGCGACCCTGTAGGTTCACGTACACTCGGATGTAACCGGAAAACTCATTTTCGGTTCACGTGTCAATGGTGGCCCCTAGCAGGATGTATTGACTCACCGCATACATAGGGTCTCCCAAAATTAGAAGCTCCCCCAAACAGTCCAGCTTTTGGTCCAGATTCTGAGAAGCTGTAATTCTAGAATCCAAAAAATGAACTAGAAGCCAGAAGCTGGGAAACCTAGCTTTTCCAGATTCTCATAAGCTGGCTACCAACCAGCTGCTTCTCAGAATCTTAAGCTCCCCCAAACAGGCCCAAATATCATATCGGTTGAACCTCTAGTGTATACTTGTATGAACCTCTTTGCCTCACGATATCGATTAAGCTCAAGGCTAGATATGTGCCATCGTCTAATAGCTCAATCATCACTCGAACTTATGATAGATTATATAACCTGCGATTGACTCCTCAATTACCTTTGGCATGGCTATGCACTTCCATAAACAATAACATCGAGGGGCCAAGAGATATCTCTCTATAGGAGGGGCAAATCCCATCTTGATTATTCATGTCTCGCTACATTTTTCATAGCATACCCGAAGATTACTTTTCTAACTACCTAGTTATGGAGTAGCGTTTAGCAGCCCCTAAGCAAGCTACTACATATGTTGGGAAACATGATAATTTCAGGTGTAAGGATTCTATACCAATACTAAATGAGACCACTGATGGCACAACATATATAACTTTTGTAGAGTCTCATGTTGGGTCTATCCAACACATGTTCCCCAACAAATGTCCACATTATTAATTTGATATCTCCATACCATGATCCATAACACATGATCATCAATCAATACATGTGCTAATCATTTAGACATATTTGTTCCACATCTGATATTTGATCAGGGATCCTTTAGAAATAACAGCATACAACAAAAAAAGTCTCATGAAAGAATCACATATTCATTAACCAATAACGAATTATCTATTTCAAGGAACAATGTCGGATAAATATGTAAACATAGTATGTGATACAATCATCTCTATGATTGCCTCTAGGGAATATCATCAACAGACTCTGCATTCCATATGCACACAATATCTCAATCGTATGCTATATGGAATCTTCACTAACCACGTGCATTGATCTTTAGTCTAAGTATCCCGCATGATATCTTGATCATACGGACATCATTTTCTCCCAATTTGACTCCCGATCATCACCGGCAACGCTCTCCCGAGGCATCAACACTCACCTACACATGCATCAACCAAGAAACCATATCCGAGCAAGTTTTCTCCAACTTGACTTATTGTTAGCACACAACAGTACTAAATACGCATAGGATCATCTAGAAGTCATAAACATGAATTATCCACGAACGTCCAAAGAAACAACCCGAAACTGAAACCGACATGTTTAGACTGTATCAAGCCCTAGATTAGTAAATTGATACAGGTTCAACAATCTGGATCTTCATTGCATACGTTTGAATAAGGCTCCAAAGGAGATATTATTACAAAATATATAGGTATTTACAAATTTGTGGTTAACTAATACAACAGAAGCTATAGAATTACTTAACTCTAATGTTTGGCTATAGACTTAAACCATCTATCTAATCTAGACTTGAGAATTAGGTTGAAATGAAATTAACTTATATGACTGAACTCCCAGCTTCGGCACAAACTCCAAATGGACTTTGAAAAAGGGGGGTTGAAGCAAGGGTGAGTACAACGTACTCAGCAAGCTATTATATTAGTCAACAATGAATGTATGAAATGATAATATCTGTGTAAAGCTAGGTTTACTTGCAGAAAGCAGAGAATGTAAAAGTAGAAAACCTGTAATGTTTTAAATGCAGCAGTATTTAATAAAATTTCGAATTAGGTTTCTATCCAAGATGCCATATGAGTCCCAATGCCCGATAACTGCGAGCACGGCTATTCGAATAGTTTTAAGAATATTCATACTGCAGTAGATGTACGCTTTACCCGCAATCCATGATGTGCCAAACACATTAGCCTTGTCATGGCAAAGCTTTTCAGTTACTAACATGAGTGGTACCTGTTCCATAAACTCTAGTCCCCATGCGCTCTGATCGTAACGTTATCAGCAGCGAGAGGAGTTCTGGCGTTCCCGAGGTCTTTAGAGAGAACTGATTGTATGACACCATGTCATCGCAATCAGGGTTCACAAAATCACATGGCCATAATATAGTCCCCTGGACTATCAATATAAGTATATTTACCTGCGCCTCGGTAAATATCATAATTGCCCTTTGCGGCATAAATTTGCCTCCTACGCGAGGACTTAAGAAGAACCACTATACAGAGGTACCACCTTTGCTAGATAACTTAATCAGCTAGGTCTATGCCCATACGAGAATTGCGGTCATACTCGTATGTTCTTCACATGTACTTGGCAGTCTTATGCCGGTTGGAACAGTACTAGCCACCCGGAAATCAACCATTTCTACCGTACTGTTCCAATCTAAGTTCATTATATTTTATGCAATCTAACTAGGCATGGCTAAGCAAAATCTAGCATATATCTGGTTTGCTATATGTTCAAGTTATGCATTCAAAATCATGTATGGCTAATGCGCAAGATACTGGAGATATATAATATAGGAATATTATGCTCAAAGGGGAGGAATAATAACTTGCCTTGCTCCAACGCAAATAAATCCGAGATAGGCAACCTGGTTATCAGATCCTCGAAATACCACAGGTTGCCTCCAAAGTATAATAGACTCTACTACAGAAGAGGAAGAGCCAAATTCAATAAAATCCATAAGATAGCAAAAGATCGATAAGCGGCTAGGAGAGCTAGGGTTCAAGGTATAATATCTCCTTTATAGGGTATAGGGATTATTGGGTTAACATTGGTCGAGGTTGGGGTTTGGTAGAAGAATGGCTAGGATTTAGGTAGGATTATACCTAGGGTTTGGTTATATTTAGGCTGATTGAAAAGTAGGGCAATATATCGGCCAGGTTCTATATTTTATGTATAGGTTCTTGTAGACAGAAAGTAGGTGGCTGAGAGTATGGTGGATAGGTAGTATTGTAGAGGGTATGGAATTTGGATGACAAATGGAATTTGATTAGCAAGGTATCGGCTAGGGTTTGGTTGTTTGCTAGTCGTTACTAGAGTTGGCAGCGTAACGACTAGATTTGGTGTCTTCTCTAGCCGGTGTCGATAGACAACATATTGACTAGAGGAATAGGAGGTTGGTGTAGGTTTAGTGGGGCGGAAGTGTTACTCCAACAACCTTGAGTGGTTGCTAGGATCACACAGAGCCCGAGAGCTAACTGTGCAGTGTGCTGTGGAGGTCGAGGGAATAGTGAAGCTCCGACCACTATACGCATCAAGGCGTGGGGTGCCAGGAGCAGCACTTCGACCTTAGGTTTGGTTTTGCCGGGCTTTACAACCAACGGTCCAACGTCGGGGTCGGTAGACCGCACGAACGTCCCCATAGAAGACGTAAAGTTCCAACCGGCGGCTTTTTAGTGGCTAAAGGGTATTTTGGGTTAAAAAGAAATATTTGAAAAGGCAAACATAAATTCAAACGGTATTTGAATAAATTAAGAAAACTCAAATAAAATATTAAAATGGAAAATTTAGTGTCAAAAGGTAGGATTTGAATTTAGATAAATTTAGGTCCAAGTTTCATTGGAATCGGATCTACGGTTTAGGAGATATGTGCTTCTAAAGATTGGAATTTGAATTAAATCTAGAAAATGTGAAATAGTACTGTACTGGGGCCCACCTGTCAGCCTTTCTTTTATTTTTCTTTTCTTTCTCTCTCCTCCTCTACTTCTTCCTCCCGTCACCTCCTCCTCTTCAATTAGGAGCCGAGAGAGAGAGAGAGGGAGAGAAAAGGGCGAGCGGGGAGCCGGGCTTCCAGTGGCCAAAGTGCGGTGACGTCGGCGGCATATTGTGTTCCCGGTCGACGCGCACTCGGGGAGGTTGGTGGCTGGTAGAGAGGAAGGTTGAAACGGCCGGAACGGCGACAATACGAGCTCAGTTTCGGCCGGTAAAAGAGGCGGCGGCGGTGGCTTATCTCGGAGGGGAAAAGGAAGGGGCAAGTAGGGGAATAGATTTGCCTCATCGAGACGAAGGTAGTGGCGCGAGGGCTTGGCCTGCAGGGCTCCAGTGAAGGAGATCGACCAGCGGCCGGCATTGGGGAAGAGAGAGAAAGATAGAGCTCGAGGCTCGGATGTGTATGGAGGAAAGGGGCGACCTCATCGTCTATTTATAGGCCGCGGAGGTCGGTTTCTAAAGTCGGTTTGGAGGGGAGAAGGGAGACATGGCTATGGCGACGGCGACGTGAGAAAGAGAACGACGGCGCCGGCTTCGTTCTCCCATTGGTCGGCGACGGCGGCGCGTGCCCGTGGCGGCCGCAGAGGAGTTAGGCGGCGAGGAAAGAGGTGCACGGCACGGCGTCGGCTTGGCGTGGTCGGCAAGGCGGCAGCAGCGGTGGCAGGATTGTGGGCGGCGGTGACAAAGCCGCTTACGGCAGTTGCGGCGGCGTCGGGCGCGCGCCCACAAAGGTGAAAGGGGCGGCTGCCTCTGCTCAGCTGGGCCGACATGGGCCAAGGAGGGAGATGGGCCGAAAGGAGAAAAGAGGAATTTTCAGTCCAAACTAAAACAATTGATTTCTAAATTTTGGAATAGGATTTGGATAGTTTGAATTTGAAGGAAAATTGAATGAGAGAGTTCAGAAGGAAATTATATTTGGATATAATTTCCAAAAGAAATATTCCTCTAGTTGGTTTGAGTGCAATATTTTAGAGATGGAGTTTATTTAATGCACTCAAATAGAAATTCAAAATATTCAACACCATAAATAATATGGCTCTAGATTTGAATATTTTTGAGTATGAGGAGGGAATATGGAGGGAGTAGAGTAAATAGAATTTTAGCCCAAAATATGTGGTATGAAATTTAGAGAATTAGATATGGGCTAAATGAGGTTTTGAATTTGGGGTGGAGGGATAAAGTCTATTCTCTTAGCACAAGAGCAATTATTTACAATATTTATAATAATATCATTCTTTAGCCGAGAAGGAAATCAAGCCACAGGAATTAAATCAGCGGCTAGATCAAAAGGAAGAATTTGGAAAGGGGACTAAGGATAGGTTTGGAATCAAAGGATAGGTAAAGAATGGGTCGACAATTAATTCCAATAAAATTGGAATTGCAAGGATTTGGTTTAGGTTCAAGGGTAAAGTTGGAGGGTTTCTTGGATCATAATTCATAAAAATAAAAAGAGTTTTCAAACTAAATTTGAATAAAGGATTTTAGTTAAAACAAGGTTATAGACCAAATCAAGAAATGCCTCAATTAACCAAATATACTTTTAAAAGGAAAAGCACCAGAGAGAGATTTTATGCAAGTTAGTTCTAGGAGGTCCCTCTAATTATAATGTCTTAGGTTTAAAGGGAATATTAATTTTCAGGATGTTACATGACCGCACAACACACGTCGGTCTGACCGGCTACCACAACATGATATGATTGATCCAAAACTAACAGTCCATGTTCATCATATGAAAATCAATCATCTTCAAAACAACTTCGCCAATAATATCTAAACATCAAAACCAAGAATCTTATATGCCAATTGTTCATCACAAAATAATAATCAAACACACTTTGATTTTACAGAATGTATGAAAACACTTGTTTAGGTGAGGATATTGGTCTGTCCTTTGTAATCCTGATGAACATGTATATAAATTTAATATGATTTAAAATTGAATTGTGTTCTTGAGTGAATGTGGGTTATCAATTCTCATGTTTGTGGCAGACCGTCAGTCAGGAATTGTTGAGAATCTAGATAAATATGTCAAACAACATAACTAATGTTGGTCAACAAATCTTACCAACAAGAGTATGATAGTCTATCGGTAAAAATATGTCGTGAAAAAAACTCTTTGCCAATCATACTTCTTTCGACCATGCAAGTCGGTCGACGGTCTGTATTTGAATGTGGTCTTTGCCGACCGATCCTATGTTGGGGATTTTATGTCATGGTTTAGTGATTGTTTGTTTTATGGGAATTTGTATCATTATGCTAAGAGCATCTCCAACAGCCTCTCCATCCCACTCTCCAAGCCAAATTTTAGCCATTCTAGTCAAAAAACGTGCTCCAACAGCCTCTCCAACCGGATGGCTAAGCTATCCGGCTGGCCAAAACCCTCCCTCCACTAGCCAAATTTGGCCACTCTATTTGGATGGCCAATGGTGGGCCCCACACAGCCCATCTCCTCCATCCCTACATGGCAACCAGGCACGGAAGGAGCACGAGGAGGAGGCATGGGGAGGAGCTTGAGCATGGCAGCTGCCAGCCTCAGCTCGCCGCGACCGCCGTCCTCCGCTCGCTGCCGCTGCCAGCCCTCACGCAGCGTGGCCCGCCGCCTCCACTCGGCGCGGCTGCCGTCCTTCGCTCGCCGCGGTCGCCAGCCCCCGCGCAGCGTGGCCCGCCGCCTCCGCTCGCCGTGGCCGCCGGCCTCCGTGTGGTGCAAGCTCCCCGCCGTGCCCACCACCGCCGTCCCCTCCCCGCTTGCTGCCACCGCTTGCTTCCTGCCAATGCGAGAAAAGAGGAAGAGGGGAAGGAATGGGAGAAAGAAGAAGGGAGAGGCTGACATATGGGTCCTGGTGTCAAAGAGTCAAAGTAGAGAGGGTAGATGGAGAGGCTGTTGGAGTGAACAATTAGTTTGACTAACCAAATCAGATGGAGAGTTGGCTATATGGGTGTTTGGAGAGTTCGATTTGGAGAGGCTGTTCGAGATACTCTAACAGCATATGGAAATAGCGATGACTTTTCACGACATACGGCTAGAATCTTTCTTGTTATTTAATACTCCCTCCGTCCCTAGATATTTGACGCTGTTGACTTTTTTAAACATGTTTGACGGTTCGTCTTATTCAAAAACTTTTGTGAAATATGTAAAATTTTATGTATACATAAAAGTATATTTAACAATGAATCAAATGATAGGAAAAGAATTAATAATTACTTAAATTTTTTTTGAATAAAATGATCGGTCAAACATGTTTAAAAAAATCAACAACGTCAAATATTTAGGGACGAAGGGAGTATAACATTTCTTTTTGTTTTGGATACAGGTGGAAATGAAGCTTAGTATTTTTTTATACTTCAGTCCTAAAATGGAAATATAAACAATGGGTGCTATATTTTTACAATCATTTTACATGGAAAAAAAAACCGACGTAGCTTTCTCTCAAGACTTATTTTGACACAACCAACAGAGATTTTTAAACCAACATACTTCCTCAATCCTATGATTCCTAACTAAGGAAGTATCTTTTACTTTTTTTTGTTAGTCCTATAATATGTTGATTAAATTTAATTTCTAGACATCTTATGTTTTTATCCCCACAATAGATTTGTTTTTATTGTCGTGACAAGTTACATTTTTTTAATTTACTTCTATAATATATATAAATTACTTTTAGGCTTTATTGAATTTAGTTTTTATGTCTAAGAAGTAATTTAATGAAATTTAAAAGTAATTTAAATATATTATAAAAGTAACTTGTAATTTTTTTAAAAAATAAATAATTATATGAGATCAATAAAGATTTAATTGTTACGAACACAATAGTGTAATCGGATCGTAAATCGGATTAGTAGTTTAAGAGAAAATTTTATTTGAAAAATAGGTGATATGAATATATTTCTCTGCTTGCTTCATGGGCTAGTATCCAACAAATATTGAGGGGTGAGAGTACTCTTCATTTAGATTTTGCCTTAAAAAAGAAATGCTTTACGTTATCCTGTTTGGACGAGACAATACCTAAGGGCAAGTACTATGATGCTTGATGTATTGCCCCTAAAAATGCCACGTAGGATTGGATGATGAGGTGGAAGTAATAAGTGAGGAAAGAGAAGGTGAGTTACCTCTCATGTAAGGGTCAACCTTTACACAAACCCCAAGAAAAATGTGATGAAAGAAAGAGGGGATTAGATAAACAAATAAAATATAATTATTTGGGTTGGTATGATAGAGGTGGTGTAGATATGGTGTGTTGTATATATTATCTCTTATCTTACATGGATAAAATTAGATGTAGCAACTACCCCTACTATAGAACTTGCCCTAATAGGTATCCCTAATACCTAATTTATGTGTGTCAACAAATGTGTACCCGCAGCAATTTTCACACTGGGTCCCACCCTGGCTAGTTCCCGCGGCCTCCTCCGCTTCTTCGTTCCTCTTCCGTCAAAATTCGAACCCACGCCCCACTCCTCTCCCCTTCTTCTCCACTCCAACCCCAAAATCCTACCAACCCTCTCTCCGCTCCCCCACCACCCCACCAGCCAGCTCGCCGCCGGCCATGGCGTCAGCTTTCTTCAACGGAGCCATGTACGGTAAGCGCCTCCCCAACCCCCTCTCCCTCCCTCCATGTCCCTGCAACCAAAACCCTAGCTCGCCAAGCTCTCTGCTAACTCCGCTCCTCCTCGCCCCGTGCAGCCGGTGGATGGATGCAGCACATGCTCTTCGAGGCGGCTCACAACGGCGACCTCGACCTCGTCAGGGGTACGCCACGCACGCACGCTGCGCCTCGATTCCGGTCGCGATCGATTTTGTTCGTCTTTTTGGGGTGCTCCGGGTGTGTGCTGAATTTTTTGCCTCCCGACTCCCGAGCCGTTGCAGGGATGGCGATGCTGCTGGTTGAAGGGAGGGGGCGGCTCGGGGAGGCGGTGCAGGCGGCGAGGCTGCGGGGGACGGGGCCGTTGGACGGGATGGGGGCGCTGCACATCGCCGCCAGCAAAGGGAGGCTGGAGGTGTGCCGCTACCTCGTCGAGGAGCTGCGGCTGGACGTGGATGACACTGACCAGGAAGGTCCATCTCTCACCCGATACAGAACTCTACTCATTTCCTCGTAGCTATGGATGATCACGTGCACATATTTTAGTTCTTATTAATCCTTAATCCTTTGCGGTTGCATAGGAAGAAAAAACTAAAATCTACTACTACCTCCGTCTCAAAAATGTGTGATTTGAGGAAGGTTGTGATTGGTTGAGAATAGAAAGTAGCTGAAGATTAAATGGAGAGTGGTTGTGATTGGTTTAGAGGAGAGGGTCGTTGGAAAAAATAGCTTCATTTTGGGACAAGGTACCGTGATAGAAATAGCTATATTTTGGTCCGGAGGAAGTATGTTCTTTTCTTTTTCTAAAAGTAAATGATGTGGGCCATATTGTAATGCGTCTTGAATTTTCATGCGTGTCCATATTGTAATGATCAATCTAATGATGTTTACTCGAGTTACTTGTTTTGTTGATCGATATGTCTCAATGTTTACTTCACCATAGGTGTTACTCAAACTGTTTTGTGCTTGATAAGATTATGCATGACACTGTGAAGCAATGTTAATAGGCATCAATTTTACCTAGCTTTTAAAATGGATGGCTTCATTTTCCATATTCTGTGATGCTCCCATGGTCATTACACTTCATATAAAACATGATGTGAAATGTTATCTCGTGCGCCCAGACATTCTACTTGATAAGATACTTAAATTTCCTTCTTTTTTTCCATACTTTATTATCTCGAGGTCTTGATAAGCAACTTTTAGATGCTATGCTCACAGAAAATGCTGCTACCATTAACTCTATGGAGGCATATTTTATAGAAAAATAGGAGCTAATATTGTTTCCTTTAATGTATACGAAGGTGCTTTGCTTCAATAAGCTTTTCTTTGTGCTTGACAGGTAGGACTCCTCTGATTATTGCAATAGTCTTCAATCATGTAAGCACTGTCGAGTATCTTCTTGATCGTGGTGCCGACGCAAACAAAGCCAGCCATAACGGCCTCACCCCTATACATTTCGCCATTTGTTTAGGTGCCCCTCTATAAACACTCTTCTCTTATTTTCATCTGCCGGTTTCACTTTTTCTTGAATCTTGCCTATTTTGTTTTTAACTTATAGTAGATTAATTATGTGCTGGTTTGCTGTCCTACTAGGATCTATTTACACTCGTCAACATTTTTCCCTCGGGCTTCAGCTAATAACAAACTGAGTTTTAATCAAATCTGATAGTCATAATATTCTTAATTATCATTGGAATTTCCTTAAACATGCCAGTGTTTATTGAAGGTGGGTGCCCTCTAAAAGTTCCTTTGGACACAAAGTTCATTGTGTATTTTCTATGGATAAGAACTGCTGAACATGCATTTGCTATGTCACTTTCTTTATGTATTTTTAGGGCTTTCTAGTAGCCCTTGAAATGTATGCCTAGTTGCCCACACATTACCTTGAGTATTTTCATTTTTCAACAGTATCAGTTCTGTAATTCCTCGGACCAATGTTAGATCTTCATCTTATGGAATATTTTCTATTTTCTGGAACTTCTGTGGAATATGTTCAAGAAAAATGGAGGTCCAACTGGCTTTTGAGAAACATAGATGTTATAGCAAAAACAAAAACTCTTCTAATGAGTGGCTTCTCTCGTTTATTTTCAGGAGAATGTGGAATGGTACAGCTATTACTTGCAAAAGGAGCTTGTGTGGACCCAGTAGCTTACTGTGGGACACCACTTCATGTTGCTGCTACTGAAGGGCGAGATGGTGCTATGAAGATTTTATTGGACCACAATGCAGATGTAAGTTTTACAGCGTGCCGTTTGTGCCTTAAAACGCATGCTTTCAATCGTGTGCTCTCTGCGCCAACTTTTGTTTGTCAATTCCTTTTTGTCATGTTTTATTTTATTGATTGTATTTGGGTTGCTTGATACTTTATTTATTTTCATAGTTGAAATCATTAACACTTCATGCTCAGTATTGAGTATTGCTAACAAACTTTGCATTATGTGGCATAACTAAACTCTTGAATGTTCATTACTTACTTATAACCTTATGTCCCTACTCCCTAGTAGCCAGTAGGTACGCAATTCTTCAAGACTAGCTTGTTCCATGTTTGCTTCAAACTCAACTTTCTCATTATATTTTTATGCAATAGAAGCTATTCGTTTTCACTGCACGTTTGATGCAGTATCGCGGTTCTATAAGTTTTATCTTTTCGTCCATTGTTTGTCTTCTGTCCCTGTTGTATCATTGACCATATGAACTAATATGCCTAATGTTTCTCACCAGTTTAACAAGATGGTAGATGGTCTGACACCTCTTGATACTGCTATGGATTCTGGTGAATTAAAATGCATAAATCTCCTGATTAAGGTGCTCTACCTTTATTTATTTTGTCAATCCTTACAATCATGTTCAGGTTGTTTGCTTCTTTGCAAGTTTTGACATTTTCTCCATGCTCCATTCAGTAATTCAACATATTTTGTCTGTATATGGCTTGTTAAAAACTACACCAACTACACAATTTTGTAGCCCATGATCCACTTATGATTGAAACTTTTTTCCCTTTTAAAAAAACCTACTTGTGATTAGGTTGCCTGCCATATGTAGGATAAAAACAACAGCTCAATAGACAGCTGACACAGAGGTGGTGGCATAAAGTTGTTAATTCATTTATGAAACTTCAAAAATTATGAAATGATACCTAGTCATCTTGAGGACATATGGTAAAACTTATTTTATATGATAGGTTGGTGCTGTTGTCAGTGAAGATCGCATGTTAACTGCTGAAAACAGTGGTTCTACAGAGTGCTTCAATTACTTAATGGAAGAGACTGGTGCCAACTGTAACATTTCTGATAATGTAAGATTTACCTCTTTGCACTACAAACATGCACTTTAATCATTGCAGTTTTTACATTGATTGGAATTCTGTTGGTAACTAAACACTGAACTTGTTCAAGGTTAAAGACATGTTCGTGGCTAATCATTGCTTGTTGATTCTTCCCTTCCAATTCAACAAAGTTCTGGAGTTGCTCCGTTATTCATTACTATTATGAATGCTGTAAATGCATTCCTCTGAAATCCCTAATCTACACTGCAAAGTTGCTCTGTACCTGAGTTTATGCTCTGCTAATGGTTCCATGGATTCAAATAGTTTTGTTCTCTTTCTTATAGGGACTCTGTACTATTCATTTTGTTAAATTGCCAGTGCATATTTGGAATGGTCTTCCCATATTTAATTATATATAGTTTTTATGCCTGCAAGCTGTTATTTTTGAAGAACTCTGGATAGTTACAACTTTGACAGTTTGCTTGGCACAAATTGTCCAGCTTGGTATAGCAAAAGTAATAGAGACAATTTCTATTTTGAGAGGCAGAGAGATGGAAACCCACCAAAAAATAAGTTTTTTTTTCTTATATACTCCATTTGTTAAGCTTCATCGAGAATTTTTATATTAAAAGGATTTAATATTGAAGAAAATGCACTCATGATTAGTGTCCTGCTCAGTGCATGAAATCATGTGTGCATGACCTCTTGAAAAGTCAAAAAGATGCAACTTGACACTAGAGAATAATGTCATTGAGTTCATCTTGCAAATTAATATATTTCATCATTTGTACTAGTATAATATAAGAAGAAAAAATTTTAGTCAAAACCTTTCATTCCGAATATGTTTATCTCTTACCCACAAACATATCCAAAATGTTATTTGTGCAGCCTACATACTCTAGAGGATATGTTTAGTCAAAGATGGTTTGCCCGTTGGACTGCAGATATTCTACAGTGGTACTTTCTTTGACAGGAGGGAGCATATGTGCTGAAATTCTGTTAAAATAATTGAAAAGAATTATAGAAGTTGTCTTATCTTCCTAAGAATTGAATGTGAATGTATGAATTAGTCATTTTCTTGCAGCAATGGTCAATCATTGTTTCTCAAAACAAGTTTTATATGATATTTTTATCTATAAATTGTGCTTGTTAATTATTTTGGGAACAACCCATTGTGATTGAAAGATAAACTTGCATTAGATGATTTGAACGTCATTAAGGAATACCACGTCAATTCATTATCCCAATTGTGCACAAGACTTAGTTACCGATGATTGAGAACCGTCTAAGGGTGTGTTCGGTAGAAAGGGTTGGAAACTTCCCCCCTTGCATGCAAAACGAAGCGACTCATTAGCACATGATTAATTAAGTATTAGCTAAAAAACTTGAAAATATATTAGTATGATTTTTTAAAGCAACTTTCCTATAAATTTTCTTTTTGTAAAAAAAAAAGCACCGTCTAGCAGTTTGGGAAGCGCGCGTGAGGAAAACGAGGGAGTAGAAGTTGGGAACTTGTAGTTAGAAGTTAGAACACAGCCTAAAGATTATCTGGATCCAGATTAAGGGATGCATTGAAGTGCAGTACAAATGTATAGGAGGTAAAAAAATGTAGGAGGAAACAGTCTCATTAGTTAATGAAAGAACGACCATCTTTCCCATTATGAGTGTGGCTCAGTGGCTGATGAGGTCTGAGTAAAATGTGTTATACTGTAGTTGCTGTAGGAATTAGGATATCATTATTAGTTAAAATTTAGGCAGTAAGTTGTCACTATTACGAGACTGAGCATGGAAATTAGGATACTATCACTGAAACATTGGCATGTGGAATCATATAAATGATGACTGAAGATGTTACATGCTTAAATTCAACTTTCCTGAATCTCCAATGCATAAATATACCTGGCTGCTTGTTGTTAGGACTTTTCCTGCATAACACAAGTCTTCATCCTTTGATATAACTGGTGGTTTAGGGTGAGCCTGTCAATAAAAGGAAAGCAACAGATTTAAAGTCACTGGGTAATAAGGCTGTCGAGAAAAAGGATTATCTATCTGCAACAGGATTCTACAGTAAGGTACATCAGAGCACCATGTTTCCTCATTTTGTTTATCTCTATTTTGAATTTGTCCCTGCATACAGTGTATGAAGGTTACGACCTGGCTTTGCTTATACTTGAATGCAAACTCGTTCATCTATTCTTTTAGTAGAAAAATGCTATTCCATTGTACAAAGTTTGACTGGAGCTGGGCAAAAATATATATATCAATGTCCATTTTTTTAGATAATGGAAGCTTTATTAATCTCAGTAAATTTCATACAATTATTCTGAGAGCACCTCCAGCTTCTGCACCCAAAGAGTGCATACAGCCAACAAGAAAGAAACAAAAGATAAACTCATCATCCAAAATAGCAGGAACAAAAGGAACTTCAGGAGCCCTCTAACCGTAGCCTAGAACGCCACCCATGTGCCGGGGTAGAAAACTCCAGGGCCACTAGCTCCAATTGTTGACAAGCTGCAATGATAGTACCCCGCAAATTGACCTTCTGGAGGATAGCCCATGAGCGGAGCCAATGTGTAATAAAAAAGATAACCTGCAAAGGAGAAGATATGTATTTCCTTTCAAAAACCACATCATTTCTGCAATATATTGGCAACATCATTTCCTTTCAATGTCCATAGGAGCTATTTTGTTTGTATCCCCAGAATTTTGCCAATTTTGGCAATGCCACTGCAGGGGGAAGTAGCAAAAACTTGGTGCTTGTGCCCATAGTGCGCCAAGGTCCTAGCTATCTTTATTTGCTCTTTTATGTGGTGCATTTCCTCATGTAGAAACAATATTGATATTTTTATATACTCTCCTGAGGTGTACCTGTTTTATCATAACAGAAAGAGAATATGTACTAATGAGAGTAGTGCAATTGTTTTAGGAGATTCTCAGTGTTCTTGCTGTCACTCCTATCCAACATTAAAACTACAGTAGAGCTTTTGTGGAGTTGCTTGACTTGGCTTAAACATAGAGAAACTAGATCGAACTTACAAAAAAGGCTTAAAACTCCATATTTTCAAGGAGGATTAAAAACTAGTGAACAGGATTTGTTGATCCAAAAGTGGTATGATTTTAAATTCCATATATTTTGTAAGTGTTACAGTACCGTACCATTGTTTCCCATACTCTCATTTCTAGTTTTAGTTGTCTAGCTGACTCAACCAGTTCTTTTATACTAGTGTGGTTGTGTTAATGTGCAAATTTCTTGTTTATCGATTGCAAATTCATAGCTGTTCTTATGTTCTCAGTAAATCTGCTAACCCATGTTTTCCTTGTTCAATGTAGGCACTGTACCTTTACCCTGATGATGCTACCTTGTTCTCAAATAGGAGCCTTTGCTGGCATCGCATGGGTGATGGAGGCAAGGCTTTGCTGGATGCTCATGAATGTAGGAAGTTGCGGTCTGACTGGCCAAAGGCCTACTACCGGCTGGGTGCTGCTCTGATGTTACTGAAGGTTAACATATAGACGATGCAGTTAGCCATGTTTTTGTTTTTTCTGCAAATTTTTCTTTGATATTATTTACTTGGTATTCTATCAACAGGACTATGAGAGTGCTTGCGAAGCACTTTACAATGGATTCAAGTTGGATCCAGGGAACTCTGAGATTGAGGATGCATTTCGGTATCCTTTCTGCCTATTTTGGTCGCATTATGGCAATATGGCTTATGATGATAGCTTTGGCTAGTGCCTATCTGGCCATTCCATGTTTCACTTGTATGCTAGAAATTTTCCTATGTTGTAGTTAGGTTTAGAATAGATTTATTTCTTGAAAAATTGTGGGTGTGAAGATTATTTGCATTCAATTCTGTTATGTAGGAGTTTGTTAGGACTTTTGGAAGTCAATTCTTACTATATTGATGCCATCCATTTCTTAACTACCAAAACTTGCTCTTGATCTGCACAATGCACAATATTTACATTGTAGTATGGGATCTTCCCACCAATGAGTTTCCTAATGTAACTCTTTTAAACTAAAAAGGAGGTATGCATTACATTTCTCATCATAGAATTTACTACTATGGCGCTTGAAGACTGGCAAGTTGTGAAGCCATTATGTTTTTTTTTTTCTCTTCCTTTTAGATAATGGAACAAATGTTTCGGCTGCTGCATCTAGCGGTGCGCGAACCCATTGTAAATTATTGCATGTTCTCATTAGCTCTTGAAACATGCAGGGAAGCTCTGGAGTCCTTGAAGACATCTGCAAGCACGGAGGCTAGGTGAAACATCATGGGTGTTGCAAAGGGGGGCAAAGAGTTCTGGTCCTCCTCCACGTTGTCCACAGGCGTCTCACCTTTTGCACAGAAGAGCCTTTAGTTCGCTGAATCCACAGGTTTTGCGTTATCAGCTTTTGCACAGAGACTTCGATACCCAGAATGGGCTATCTCCTTTTTTTTCTTTATCTTTTTTTTCTTTCTTTTTTTTTTTGTGTAAGTCGAGCTAAGTAGCCAACGGGTGGACGACTGCTGAACATCACGGTGTTTCAAGTCCATAACTCTGACGAGCATTACGAAGTTAATCTTGTGCCCTGGGGTTAGCATCTGGAAAATATTCGAATTGGTAGCTGGAATGTATGAATACCAGAGATGTACTGGATGTTCTTATGACAATTTTATTTAAGACTGAATGTTCTTATGACATGTTTGAGTTGATAAAATGTGATCGATCTGGTAATGAAATGAAATGCCATCATGCTTGGTGCAAAGGAAAAGTTTCACGGCAATATAATTATCAGTGCCTTTGTTATTTGCAAGGAGCACAGTCGTGTTTGAAGTTTGAACATAACCACAATATGGAATTGGAACATCTTGTTTTGAAGGAAGCTACTGGGTTTTCATTAGTCCCTATCTGTATGTCTGTTTGATTTAGATTATTAAGTGGATTATTAGTTTATTACTATGGATTATCTGTTTGACTATGGGAATAAATTAAATATTTTAGGACATAAACTAATAAATAGTTTAAAACAAGTGGCTTAAGCCACGCAGTACAAGATTTTTTTTTAAAAAAATAAGTGTAGAAAAATAATCCATTTTAATATTTTGGAAGAACAGGGCAACTACTAAGTTTTACTAAAATTTAGAATAAGAATTTGAAGTTATTGAGCTAAAGTTGATCTCATATGTAGAATGAAAATGGTAGGAAAACATCTCAACCATTCCTATAACCCTTTTTCTTTAACGAAATCGAAAACGGTAAAGCTAAAAATGAAAAAGGGTATTGAATATATTGGAAAACCGAAGATAGAATTATATGGATGAAATTGTTGTTAGAGTGCGCAGCTCGGCCCACCAACCGTGGGCCACCCATGTCACGTTGGGCCTGCTCCACCACAGGCCCAACCGGAGCCACAACTTTAGGTCCTGGGCCTACACAACCCAAAAGACTAGTCTGATGGGTGACGACACCGAGACACGATATTTGGTAATGGAGTTCAGCCGTAGCCTACATCTCCGGGGCACTGATTACGGGCGCTCCTCCCCGATCCAGGATATACAGCGTATCAGAGTTACAACGACTCACGGCCGGTCGCCGCCGACAGCCGCTCCCTCTCGCTATGCTAAATCCCATGCGGTTACAACAGGCACGCCCCTCTATTTATGAGAGATCCTAGGACAGAGTCCGACTCTTACTCTAGTCCTATACCTAGTACAACTCCAACTCCTAAACTGTAACCGACTATATACACATATTCGACACAAACTCTAACAAACTCCACCTTGGCGAATATGCCACGCCAACCTGAATTCGTTACTTCCTCGAACCTCCGTGTACCAGGACTTGAGTTGATCCTTTTTCGCCGCTCACACCGAGCTACCCCGACAAGCCTCCACCAGGCTCACCGTAAACAAGAGACTCCCGCTATCCCTCTATCCCTGTAATTTCTTCCTCCTGACTCCACCTGCAACAGTGCTCCATCTACTCTCATATCACCACAATCGTCTTGCCAAGCGAAATTGGATTCCTTCCTAGCTGTCACATCATAGACTTCCCGAATACCATGTTCACCTTCATCTTCCGTCTTAAATTTGACTTGATCTTCTCCATAGCCAGATGACCGATGTCATCACCAAATAGATAAATCAAACTCACCAGACATGAAGAGAACCCTTTATTGTCGTCTTATGAACCGAACTAACGAATCCAACATCCACGCTTTCCGCATCCATAGACTGAGTATCCGATAATTTGAGAAGATCATTGTTGCCTTGAATCACCCGAAGAAATTACCACCATAGCGTTTGCTCTTCCTCTTCAGTGACGCAGATTCCATATATCCCCATCATGCAATCCCCGCAGATCCTGGATATATCATGTACTGCCAAACAGCCCGTTGACGCCCTCAACGATTTTCATCCACTGTTGCTCGGGAATTTCTCGCCAATTACCGTGTTGCCTCCGCTGAGTCACGCCTTTGACTTAACCAACCACCTTTGCCTTGCTGCATCATACCTCCTTGTGCACATCCTCTAGCCAACAAGACAAACCAATGGGGACCACCTATACATTTGTCGACAAATTTTCTCCTAAAAATTTGACAGATGTAATTATAGTACAATCATAATGTAATCACACTGTAACTTATATGTAAGAGATAATCCAAGAAATGTCATTGACAAGCGTCCAAGTCCCAGAAATGCCATCGATAAGTGAGTTCCAAGAAATGCCATCGTACAAACGATTTTGTCCCAAAAATGCTATCGCCGTTAGGGTTCCGTCCATTTTGCGCCATTAAATACACTGTTCATCCTATAGAACTTAACGGCACGAAGTGGACGGAACCCTAACGGCGATGGCATTTTTGGGACAAAGTCGTTTGTACGATGGCATTTCTTGAAACTCACACTTGTCGATGGCATTTCTGAGATTTGGATGTTTGTCAATGGCATTTCATAGATTATCTAGAGTTTTTCTGAAAAATAATTGATTATTAAATCTTTGACGAGATGGTTCAGTTTATGGTATTATATCTATAAGCACTATGTATATGCACAATATATGGGATGCATACTGTAATTTCTAGTGTACAATTATATGCATGTATGTATGCAGACCTGCAGTGGTAAATTGTGAATAAAGAACTGTGTGATTTCTACTGTACACATGTGTACCCCACTTCGTGATGACTAATCTCTACACTATAATTTGACCAAAACTAAATGATCCCACTCCTCACTAGGTTTAGTCTAACAAACAATAAATCAATGATGCATATGGATATAACTTAATAAATAAATAACAAGGAAACGATAAAAAAAATCATTTAAGATCCATAATAGAACAACAATCAACATATTTATAGGTCCTAGCCAGCATCGTGGCTCAATCAACACCGCTCTCAGCCAGTGTGACCAAGTCATTAGCATGACTAAGACTATAGCTAAAACCCGGGATGTTACAATTTGTCGACAAATATATAGCAAAATCGAATCGTTTTGGGTCAAGAAGAAAAAAAAACCAGTCAACAGGAAAACCAGGAAACAGATCAGAACGATCCCCTTCCCTCCCTGCTCTCGCTCCTCGCTCCTCACTCGTTGCCGGCTCGAGCGCGCCACCGCCCAGCGCCTAGCGCCGTTTCTGCCGCCGCTCCTCCGCCAGCCACCGAGCCCAGGAGCCCGCGCCGCCTCATCGTCTCCTCCGTGCCGCCACCGAAAACGCCGCCACTGACTTGTGCCGGTCGCTTTGACACCACCGCCCGCCTCCTTGCGGGATTCCGCCGGTGAGAGCGTCGTGCCGCCGCCGCCGTGGGCTTCCCGCCGGTGAGGATGCCGATGCCCACGGGAGCCGCCTCCCCGACACAGGAGCATCGCCGCCGCCCCTTCGCCGGTACCTGCCGCCTCCTCGCCGGAGCCGGCCCGCGTCGTACTCGTCGGCACCTGCACAACGACTGCACCAAGTCATGCTCCTACCACCCGACGTTCGTCGCCCCAAATCACTGCCGCCAAGAGGTCCCAGTCCGATCTCCTTTTGCTTTGATGATTTGGTTCGATTGCAATATCTGCAATCCCGTGGATTAATTCCTGTTGCTGAGTCCTGGGAATTTGATGTCCGATTTTAAGTCCAAACCGAAACCCACTTCCTTTTCCCTTTCGTGTGTGTCCAACTAGGCCTCCTCTCCTGGACTACTTGCCACAAACGCCGCCATGACCGAACAGGAGACAACTCCTGTCCGTGTTCAACTCCAACACTGTGGCTCCGTCCTGATTGGAGTCCTGTGCAACCATGACTCCTCCCGAGCCTGCTTCCTCTTGGCGTTGCTTCTATCAATGCCGCTAGCCTGGTCTCAACGTGCGGTGCACGCACACCATCGCGACATGGACTTCCAAGCCTTCACGTATCTCACGGCTTCTGCACCTTCGCTTCTGCACTTCCGGCCAACTCCGCTAATGACGCATGCCATCAGTTTGTAACCAATGCATACGATTGTGCAAAGCCTCTCGGTTGAACTGACGTTTCCACGATCGATTTTGCTATATATTTGTCGATAAATTTTCTCCCAAAAATTTAACAGATGTAATTACAGTACAATCGTAGTGTAATTACACTGTAACTTGGATGTAATTACACTGTAACTATAGTGTAACTTATATGTAACTTTCAAAAATCTCTATGTAATATGTTATTTCAGTAAAATAGAGGTTGTGGGAACAAATCCTTACACATATGTGTGTGCTGTGATTTTATTTTTCTTCCTCACCAAAACAAATCTTATAATAGATCTAAAGATTTAAAATTACATGAAACTTATATATACAAGTTACATTGTAGTTACGTGCAAATTACAGTGTAATATCAGTCCCTAAACTCATAGTAACCTCCAATTTTACTAAACTTGAGGGACTCAAGTGCAAAAGTATCAAACATATCATACTTTACCAGATTTTCCATTTAAACTAAAAATTAGTAAATTCTATCCATCATTCCACCTCCACCGAGCATGCTATGGTTAGGTGTCTAACATGCATGAAGCCACCAAACAACCAGCAGGTGAGTCACTAGTTCAGCTCCACCAAATTAACCATCTCAGTGTGAAATTTCTCCCAAACCAAGCTATACTGTCGTAGAGACCAAGGTGAGCAGTAGTACTACCATTTTTGGCTGCAATGAGCAGCAGCAGTAGCTAGTAGTTCATCTGGAGAGACAATACAACTTACAAGATCACATTGTATTATCCAAGGGAAGGCAATCAGAGAGTAGCCAGGGAGAGCGAGCTAGCAGAGCAGTAGTACAGCAGCCATAGTAGTAGTAAGATCCCAGCAACAGCAAGCAACCACGGCTGGAAATCAGTGGAGATTGGGAGAAAGAGAAATAACCAACTAAAAGTTCTATACCTCAACCACACCACAGCTCAACTATAGCATCTGTGGTCAAGCAACCAGAGAGAGGGAGAAAGACAAGGGAGTAGGAGGTGAAGCAGTGCTTGCTTGAGATTTAGAAGAAACAAGAAACTCAGGTCAATAAGCAAGATGGAGCAAAAATCAAGCAAGAGAATGAGCTTCAAGAGGAGGAAGAGAATCACCAGTACCAGATCGAGAAAGATAGCAAGAAGCAGTCAAGAAGTACCTGGAAAACAAGAGACAAGAGGACAAGTACCTGATTTACAAGTGGAGCAAGGGGTTTCAGCTCAAGCTCAGGAGGAAGCAAGGGATTTCATCT